TGTGGCAACAATGACAGTCATTGTCAAGACAGTCAAGTTTTACCCCCTGTTTATTAGTTATTCATTTTTTAATTGTGAATAGAATGGCTCTGCGGGCCAGTCTGATGTCATCCGCGGGCCAAAAAGGCCTGTGTAACTTGTATAATTCAGTGTACTTCTAGTGATGAAAGATACAACAGAAAACTCAAAGTACTTGGTCTTTTCGATTCTCCGATTTTCTGAAATTTTCAAAATCCAAAACAAAAAAAACGCCAACCAGAATTGACAGTATTTAAAGCTGAATACTGAATGTCACACAGTATTCAGCTTTAATGTCATTCCTCATATAGTTTCAAAAATGCCAAGAACATGTCCTGTACATTTTATTTTATTTAATCCGTGGTTCTTCCCTGGAGGTTTTAGGGTGACATTTCAAAGTCTCCAAGAAACTGAACTTTTCAAAAATACTTCATTAAATAAAGTCAAGATTAAATTCAAATCTTGTTATAGTCTACATACAACAACAACGAAAGGAGATGTGCCAGGAGACTTAAAATTCAAGGTCATGAAGAAGAAAATGTGCCTCAGTTATTAGTAATTAAAATTCAATAATGCGACAGGAGTAAATTAAATAGTAATACTAAAGTGGTGGAAGTCTGGTCATTATTTTGATATGGAATTTTTGGGAACAAAATCGATACTGATGTATCGGCTGATATCTTTCTTTGATCTACAGAGATAGATAGATGTAGACATGCATATATATTCTGTTAATCCCTCAAATGCAGTTATCAAACACTTGTGGAAAAGATATATGATGAAGGGAAGATGGTCACTCAACTGGAAAGCACCTGAAGCATATTAACTTAAAATAATAGTCCAGCACTGAATATGAAGCCTCATGATTCTCGATGACCTCCAGCACTAAATTAAACATCTCAGCTTCAGGAAGCAAATGATAATTAAGACATGATGTACTGTAAGCAGCTTTTTATCTCAGAGGACCCCCTTCAGGTAACCCTCAACATAAACAACACGCTTACTTTACATTAGCCCACTTATTACAAACAAACCTCAGAAATCATTAACTGTATACTAAATATTCATTTGGAAATACATGTATTGATTCAAAATGAATTTAAATACCTTCACATCTAAAAAGTATTCAGTTAGACTCACAGTTACCTGCAGTTTCCCAGCTCACCATACCGGTGCTGGGTTCATTTCTGGAGAATTTGCACAGCGGAGCGTAGTTCTCACAGGTTCACAAGATCACAGGAGAACTACAAGCCCACACACGGGATTAGAAAGAACATCATGTAAAACACATGTTGCTTTGTCTTTCTGAGGAGTCTGGTGTTCATTCTGTGTCTGTTTTGACGTAATGTTGATAAAGTGATGGAATAAACGATCAGGAGGCTGTAAATTGTCTTTAATTTGAAATTGACCGGATGCTTTGGGATTTCCTTGTCGGGGTCGATCATATCCCGCTGTCAGCCCTGACTACCCTCTGAGTGAATGAAGTCATCATGACGGAGTCTAATCATCAAATACATTGAATATTCATATTTTTCCTGAATTGCTAAATCATCGTTCACTCTTAATTGAGTCTCTCCTGACTGAAACAACTGTCGAGGGAGCCGTGGCTAGATTCAAGGCTTTGTCCAAATAAGTGTGTGGTGTCAACATGATTATTTGACTGATCAAGTTGGAGCCTCCCCAATCTGGAATTGTAAATATCAATCATGTTTGATATTTATAAACTTGACATTAACATTTAATTCAAAGACTAAGGGGCGAATGTGCTGCATACATTAAAATCATTTAAAATTCATTCTAGTCAGGCGAGGTGCCCATGAGCAAGGCTCCGATCCTCCATCAGCTCTAACGCATGTCCACCGGTCCTGTTGGAGGACGTGTGTGTTTAAGGCGTGAGTGTTTAAGAAGCATGTCTCTCAACCACAGGGTGGGGCGGCTGTGGTGTAGTTGGTAGAGTCGTCATTCGGGTTCGATCCCCAGCTCCTGCAGCAACATGTCTGATGTGTCCTTGGGCAAAAAAACAGGTTCAACAAGTTTCATTCACTAAATGATATTTCACCATTTAGTTTCTGTTACCTAACTTACTGAAATAGCCATCATACATATTTGTCACCATCAAACCCTGTTCCTCTGAAGGTTAGACAGACAGAGACAGTGGATTACTTATGCATGACACCAGAGATCAGATTAAACAGCTGGTATGCTCAGTATGGGTGTCATGAAGATGTGAATCACTGAAAGGAATTCAAGTTTCACCTTTTGAGACTGTGAGTGAAAACATAAAGAATAAAGTACATTATGCCCATATGCTACACCAAAGACCTGCCATAGAACTGCCTCTCATTGTCCCATACTGTCAGGATCATTTAAGGAGGTTGAACTTGACAGACAACTCATCAAACCACAGAGACGACATGATTCTTGTCTTTAAAATAAACACACAGCAGTAATGTAAGGGTGCTGGGATCTGTTTACTAATAAACAGTCCTCTTGTGTGCACCTTTTATCAGACTGTTGTTGCTCGTGTCTTGTTCTGTGGTGTGCTGGGAGAGAGGGAGCCCACACAGCAGACTAAAACAGAAACAAGCTAATTAGGAAGGCCAGCTCCATCATAGGGACTGAAACCCTTCAGCAGGTCACAGAGGCAAGAGTGCTCTTAAAACCTAAGACCATCCTGAGAAACTCTGTACACCCACTACACACCCTGGATGTGATCCAACAGAGACCGTTTAGTCACAGGTTGATCACCTCGAGGTGCAGAACTGAAGGTTACAGGAAATCTTTTCTCTTACCTGCCATCAGACTGTTTCATGGAGAATAAAGCAAGATGAATACATGTACTCATATTTATTCATAAATAAACTAACAGACTTTGTACACTAAAGGTGAATCACATTTCTAGTGTAGTTTTTTAAAAACAGATCTTAGTATTTCTGATGTCTTGGTTTTATGCCTGAATGGTCTGTGTTCAGTTTTTATGTGGTGTCTTGACTGTGATTACAGTTGCTGCTGTGGCAGTGTAATTTCCTGCAAAGGATGAATAAAGTATCCATCTATATATCTCTATCTGAGTGAAGACTGTTTTTAATTTGAAAGTTTTCTCAGCACACACTCCCTCTGAGAGCTGAAAAAGAACTCATGATGATGATGAACTTCTCTAAAATCTGGAAACGTTACAGGGTGGAGTCACAAAACTCTGATTTGTTCGTTTGTTGTTCAACCAGTTGGAACACCCTGAAGAATCTGTCAACAGCACACCTTTATCGACGTGATTTTTCTCAGCAAGACATTAACCACCTGAAGGAACGTTGGTAAACATGACGAGGACTCTGGGATTTTTGAACGAGGTAATGATCTTCATTTTTCAATTCAAAGTCTGTTTTCTAAACCACTGTCAGGGTGATTTAACTGATTAATATTTAAATGTTTTAATGGCAGGATAAATAGAGAGAATGAGCTGATTCAGATTCAGATTTTCTCGTGATGTTGTTCATTTCTTTTGCTATACATTATTATTATTATTATTATTATTACTACATTATTATTATTATTATTAATAATAGATTATTATCATTATTATTATTATTACATTATTATAAGGAAATATTCTCATAACCTATTACAAAAAGATCTTGTAAACGTGGACAGGAAACACACGTGTTAGGGTAAAGTTCTAGCTGGAACAGTTATTTTAATATAAGTTAAAAAAACAAAAAAAGGGCCTGTTTAGTAAACGACTCTGCATTGTTCATGTTCAGCTGAAGAAATGGTGAGATTATAGGTGTTATTGAACTGTGTGAATGGAAGTTTATGTAAACTTACCGGGGAAGTAGCATCAGCTAATAATAATGAGCATTAGCATAGAGTTGACGACGATAGCTGTGCTAATATACTTTATAGATCTTTTATATAACACGTCCTCACAAAGGGAGCTGCTTCATCTTGTCCGGTAACATATTTAAGGAGGGCAGCGTGTTTGTTGGGCTCGGTGAATTAGATTGCAGTCATATTTTTCTTGCCGATCGGACATTTTGTCATGTCGGAGGGGAAGTCCATGACATAACTTTCATTGAAGCAGTCGGTGTGGAAAAGTGTGTTTTCTTTAGCTTTTCATTCTTGGATTTGGATCTTGTGTTCATGCTTTGTAAAGTTGACTTATGTTCTGTGTTTATATTTTTATAACTGGACATTGAATTGTGTAGAGTTTAAAAAGGATAGAAGAGGTCAAAAGTTTACACAATCAGAAGAATCATGTGGACAACTCACCCAACGTGGGAGGAGTGTTGGAGCAGCAGAGACCCTTAGGTAAATATGGATAGTTCATCTTTACAATCTATGAAATGTGTTCTACTTGTGAGTTTTATTTCTAAAATCAGAATTTAAACTGTTTTCAGAGGAGATTCTTCACCAGGGAGAACACTCCCATAGTGACACCACCAACAGAGGACCCCAGACCAGGTACTTTACGTCTTTCAGGTCACATACTATCCAAATGATGTAAAAGTCCTTACTCTTTCTTATGTTATGTTACAAAAGATCAAAGTGTACTTAAGTCCTTCTGCTGGGAGAGTTGTGGAAGTGCAACATGTGTTCCGCTCCCAGGTAACCAAAACAATTCAATGACTCCCTCTTACCAGTCTAACTACTATTGACCTCCCTCGGGTCCTAGTGCCTGTATCTAATGGTTCCTCGCTACTTTCATTTTACCTTCCGTTTCGCTTCTATAGACTATGACTGCATTGTAATTCCTGGTGACTTTAATATTCACATCGACAACCCCAAGAATCTGGACACAAAACAACTATTAAATATACTAGACACATTTGAATTCTCACAGCATGTTACGGGGCCCACACATAAACAAGGACACACCCTCGACCTGATTCTATCTAAAGGCCACAGTGCAACTATAACAGTTACTGATATTGTGGATGTTGCAATTTCAGGTCACTTCTGCATATTTTTTAATATGATCTGCACACCAAAACATGACAACGTAGTCAGAATTTCAAACAAGCGTGTTATTATTGACAATACCACTGAGATATTTATTCAGGAATACATTAACCATAATTTGCACATCATGTCATCATGTGATGAGATGATGGACAATTTCAACTCGGCTTTAAGTCACATCATTGACAGCATTGCTCCAGTCAAAACTACAGAAAATAACAATAAACCAAAGGCTCCTTGGGGAAATGGGGAAAGGGTGAAGATGCTTAAAAGAGCTTGTCGAAAGGCTGAAAATACAAGCTTCAGATATATTATGAAATGATGATGAGGATAATGATGATTGATGATGATGAAGATGATGATGGGGATTAGGTTTATTATTATTATTATTATTTTTTTTTTTAAACTCTTTTTATATTTTAGATCACGGGTTCTCTAACGTTTTGGCTTGTGTACCCCTTTGTCTGGCCAAGAACATTTTTCAGGAAATAATTTTGGAAAAGAACATAAATAAATTGATGTATGTGGTACATCTGTGATGTATGTGATGTATGTGGTACTGTCTTCTGTATGAAGACATACGTCTTCATACATTCATACATAATGCAAGCTATATTATAAATGAATATCCTGAAGTTGGAAATAGTGCCATATTAAACGTTGCATAGAGAACATGTGCTGTTAATTAATTTGTCTTTAATCAGTGAATGGATTTTCCTAGAATTCATTATATTGGTTTGTAGTGGTGCAACTTTTTTTAACAACATTTGTCACGTACCCCTTGCTGTACTCTCACGTACCCCCATTTGAGAAACACTGTTTTAGATGATAGACGAGTCCAGTACAAAATGTCTTTTTAACTTAACAACCTGTATTTGTGAAGGGTTTGTGCCTGCGGATGACTCATCTTCATCTACCTTGGTCACTAATATCATTGACCCTGTAATGAGAATAAAACCATAATTAAACACACTCATGTATGTTTGGTGTCAATGTTAAAATACATAAAGAAAAGACAAAGAATTAAAATGCATTCTATGCTATTACTACTTATAACAATGTAGTAATAATAATTACAATCATTAATATAAAATAATACTATAACTGACTATAACTACAAAAAGAAGTGTTGAATGAATAGCAGCATGTGGAAATCGTAAAGCTACAACTTGCAGGAACTGTCAACTCCTTTTTTGTAAGTTTTTTCACAATAATGGTTAAAATGTGTAATTTTAAATCATTAAACTTTTTTATTTAATTATGGAAGGCATCTCATGTATATTTTTAAAAGCTCCCCCCACATACTGTAAATCACTTACAATAAAATTTATTTTTAAAGCATAAATAAGTACTGACATTTTTTAAATCTTTGAATGATTTTAATTTATTTCTTACACTGAGGAGGAAAACCTCTGTTTAAAAAAATAAATAACTGCCTACATGTGGACTAGGCCTCAGAGTTAAAACTCCAGCACCACACAATGAGTTGATTCACAGTAGTGGAGTGAAGAGCAGGCGGAAACAGGTCTCTGACCTGTTTCCGCCTGCTGCAGCCACACCTCCTGACATACGTACCTGCAGGAGAACGAGAACAGAGAGGGGAGGGGGAGATGAAGAGAGAAGAAAACTTTTTTTAAAAGTAATATACATAATATAAGTATTGTGTACAGGTCTGTCAGGTAAGACATGCTGCACATTTGTTTCCCAGTTATCTTGCTGCTTAGTTTAATAACCTTGTCCAGTTTGTTTGGACGTACATCAGAGGGGAATAAAACAAATACTAAGGGTGTGGCTATGCTTCAGATTCACCTGTCAGGAGCAGTTGCTGATTTGCATCAACCAGCTGACCCATCTGTGACTACTTCATTTCAAGTAAATCTCTCAGTAGGTGGACATTTCTAATCAATCAGTCTCTCTTTTTCTAAATCATGTTCTCTTTATTTCTTACAGAGAAAGGAGTAAACTGAAAGGTCTACAAATATGGATACTCTTGTAGTTTCAAGTGTGTTCTGGGGGGCTTCCACTGACTCACTCTCCCACAAAAATCATCTTTATTCTCTGGTCTTCAAAGGAGGAAGTGGACACTGAATGATGATCGTACAACGAGGAATCAAACTTATGAAGTAAACTGGTGTGAACACAAATGATCAGAAATCTCTACAACCAGGACTGTAGTCAAAGCAGCTCGGCTGAAGTGAAGTGAAGCAGATGAGATCACAAAAACAGTGAAAAAAGACATACGGCTCAACATCTAAGGTAAGCTGAAATCTGATTGTGGGAAATGATTGGGGAGCTTTAAAAGAACCAAAGATGCTGTTCCTATTATTACATAAGACAACACGTCATATCAGGTGATCAGCAGGCCATGTTTGTTAGTTTACCTGGTAGCTCCTGAAGTCAAAAAGCCAAAGAAGGCATTACGTTAGTAAACAAGACTCCGGCTGTTGAAATGGTAAGATTATAGGTGTTAAAGAATATAAGTATATATATATATATTTATAAATATACCTGTTTAGGTGTTATAGAACTGTCTGAATGAATGTTTATGGAAATTTACCGGCAAATTAGCTGAGATTAGCATTAACTAATAGGCTAATAATTAGCATAGCATTGACGACGATAGCTGTGCTTATGTGCTGTATCGATCTTTTTGTAAAACGTCTTCACAAAGGGAGCTGGTTCGTCCAGTCATTTAATGAGTCAACACTTAATAAGGGCAACGTGTTAGTCTGGCTCGGTGAATCAGATTGGAGTCATGTTTTCTTGCCGGTCGGATATTTTATATTATAAGATGTCGGAGGGGAGTCTCCGTGAGGCTCATCAGGCAGAACACAGTAACGTTATAACTTTCAGTGAAGCAGTCGGTGTGGAAACAGTTTTCTTTTACTCTTTATTCTTGGATTTTGATCTTGTGTTTATTTCAAACTGTTGACTTGTGTTCTGTGTTTATATTTTTATAACTGGACATTATTACAATATTAACCCTTAACTAGCTGTTAGCAGAGGCCTACAAGCTGCATGACCATAATCTATAGCTAACAGGTCATTAACTAAGAGTTTTCCTTCCTAATGATAATCATTGATAGTAAGTTAAGAAGTTGTTGAATATGAATTATGATGTTAATATGATTTTCCTTACTTCTACCTTATAAGATCATAATTCATGGTAAACAACTTGCTAACTTCCTATCAATGAGCAGTCATTAGGAGGGCAAACTCTTAGTTAATGACCTGTTAGTTATAGACTATGGTCATGTAGAATAAGGTACTAATAGGTGCTTAATAATTACTAATAAGAAGCCAGTATGCTACTAATTAGCATGCTAATAAGCAAAATGGGGAAAATGTTTAACGTGTTAAATGTTACCAATAATTATAATATAAATCACAATAATTGTTGTGCTGTTTTTTACTCAGGCTAGATCGACAGAACCCGATGAGTTATCAACTCCAGTGAGTATGATTACACACACACACACACACACACACACACACACACACACACACATTATAAACAACTGTATTTGATATTTAATCGTTTAATCTCCTACAGGTCCAGTGTGTCGATGACCCTACTGGTCTGACTGGAGTCGTGGTGGATGGAGAGAGAACATATCCATTATCTGATGTAAGTGTTTACTAACTGAAATGAACATTGATGCAAACCTTTTTTCCATAGATGAATATCTCCAGCAACAACACTATATCTTATTTCTCCTTCTTGTGTTTGAGGCCAATCTTCTTGGATTTGATGTTTATTTGGGAATAATGGGAAGTATAAATCAAGCAAACCTTTGGCCCACACTACAGCACTTTCAGCACTTTTCAGCTCGTTTGCAAGGCCATCCTTATTATTCAGCATTTTTCCTGTGTGCTAGAGACCCTCTGACTTTACCTTTCTGTCCCCTGTGCTGCTGCAGCCTCTGATTGGGAACAATCAGCAGAATCATGTGGACAACTCACCCAACTAATCAAATAACTTGTTAATAATTTGGTATCTCTTCAGATTAATGTCACAATATTCATCATTTACTAGTTTTTATTAGCGTGCTAATTCGTAGCATACTAAGAGTTTGCCCTCAATAGCTCCTAATGACTGCTCATTGATAGTAAATTTGGCAGTTGTTGAACAAGAATTAAGATGTTAATGTGCTTTGCTTAGTACGGTCATTATTTTGGTCAAATTTCCCCCCTGGGAGACAATACAGTATTTTACTGTAAATCACAATAATTGTCTTGTTGTTTTATACTCAGGTTCAACCAATAAAACCTGAGGAGTCATCTACTCCGGTGAGTATGATTATTTTATATCTTCCTTTATGGATGCAAACACACACGCACGCAAACACACACACACACACACACACACACACACACACACACACACACACACACACACACACACACACACACACACACACACACTCACATTATAAACAACTGTATTTGATACTTAATTGTGAAATATTATTAAAACAGTATAAAGATATCTGTCCTCTCATCATATGAATCATGTTTGATCTCCTACAGGTCCAGTGTGTCACAGACCCTACTGGTCTGACTGGAGTCGTGGTGGATGGAGAGAGAACATATCCATTACCTGCTGTAAGTGTGTACATCTTCTTGAATTTGATGTTTATTTGGGAATAATGGGAAGTATAAATCAAGCAAACCTTTGGCCCACACTACAGCACTTTTAGACTAAGCTCGTTTGCAAGGCCGTCCTTATTATTCAGCATTTTTCCTGTGTGCTAGAGACCCTCTGACTTTACCTTTCTGTCCCCTGTGCTGCTGCAGCCTCTGATTGGGAACAATCAGAAGAATCATGTGGACAACTCACCCAACGTGGGAGGAGTGTTGGAGCAGCAGAGACCCTTAGGTAAATATGGATAGTTCATCTTTACAATCTATGAAATGTGTTCTACTTGTGAGTTTAATTTCTAAAATCAGAATTTAAACTGTTTTCAGAGGAGATTCTTCACCAGGGAGAACACTCCCATAGTGACACCACCAACAGGGGACCCCAGACCAGGTACTTTACGTCTTTCAGGTCACATACTATCCAAATGATGTAAAAGTCCTTACTCTTTCTTATGTTATGTTACAAAAGATCAACGTGTACTTAAGTCCTTCTTGTGCTGGGAGAGTACCTACTCTGGTGTAAAGAAAAGCACACATTCAGCCTTTATGTCTCAAAAGCCTCCAAAAAAGCTCTAAGCCAACTCGACAAAGATATGATTGAAGTTAGAACCTGACTGTTTTAGTGACATTATCTCCTCTTGTTTGCAGATGGAGTCTGACTCATCTATTGATGGCTGCTGGGATCCTGATGGTGATCCTGATTATGATCCTGCAGTGGATCCTAAAAGCAATCATGGGGGCGATCATGTGGGCGATCATGTGGGCGCTCATGTGGGCGCTCATGTGGGCGATCCTGAAGTGGATCCTGAAGGGGATCAAGAAAGTGATCCCGAGGATGATCATTAGGGTGATGATGAGGATGAGGATGATTGATGATGATGATTAGGCTTATTATATATATTTATTGATTTTAGATGATAGACAAGTCCAGTACAAAATGTCTTCATCTACCTTGGTCACTAATATCATTGACCCTGTAATGACAATAAAATCATCATAAAACAGACTCATGTATGTTTGGTGTCAATGTTAAACTACATGAAGAAAAGACAAAGAATTAAAATACATTTTATGCTATTACTACTTATAACAATGTAGTAATAATAATTACAATCATTTATATAAAATAATACTACAACTGACGATAACTGCAAAAAGAAGTGTTGAATGAATATCAGCATGCAGAAATCGTAAAGCTACAACATGCAGGAACTGTCAACTACTTTTTTGTATGTTTTTTCACAATAATGGGTAAAATATGTAATTTTAAATCATTAAACTTTTTTATTCAATTATTGAAGGCATCTCCCCCCCCTCCCCCCCAGTGTGTCACGACCAATTTGTGGGGGTTATTTATTTATTTATTTTTAACTAGTATTCAAGTTTTTTAAATCAACTTGTAAAGCTACTTTTTTTAATAAAGCTTTTTTTGCAAAACATAAGTTTTGGATTCAGACTCCTAAAAGCCCCTAGTTTGACCCCTCACAAGCTACCTAAGGCAGAGGTTAACATTTAAAATGTTTCACCAATACGGTTCCAGGTAGGTTGAACAGCTCTCACTGATGTTCCTACAGGAGTTGGATTTAAATCTTTTTACATGTGTTGTTATAAGACCCCTTTATGAAAACATTTGTGCAGGAATTTATTCCAGGATATTTTAAATATTCCCTCACTATTGACATATGTTTCTTTGACAGCATCTTATAAAATCACGAGTGCCTTAAACATTTTGATTACCCTCCATTTAGAAATGTACTCTGTAGATGTGAGAATCTATAAGAGCGAATCTGCTCAAGGTTTTTTTAATGTATATTTTTAAAAGCTCCGCCCACATACTGTAAATCACTTACAATAAAAAATATTATTAAATCATAAATAAGTACTGACATTTTTTAAATCTTTGAATGATTTTAATTTATTTCTTACACTGAGGAGGAAAACCTCTGTTTAAAAAAAAAATAACTACCTTCATGTGGACTAGGCCTCAGAGTTAATACTCCAGCACCAGAGACACTGGGAGCAGCACACCGGACATCTGATCAAACGGAGAAACACAAGTAAGCACAAAATCTCAGGCTTCAAAAAATAAATAGGCAGCCACACAACACTGATGCCATTAGGGGGTACAATGACGACAAGATGGCAGAGGATGGAAATCCGCTTTCAAACTACACAGCTGTCATTGAATGGCGTCATGGAAGGAAACAGAGAGGAGGTCGGCCTTATTACAGAGGAGAAGTAATCTTCGTGAGTGGTAAGATACAGTAACTCTGGCATTTAGTAAACCATGTCCTTGTTTAATTGCTTCCAAAAAAATTGTTAGTGTTCAATAATGCGAACACGAGAAGATTCAGCCTGTTTTTAATGTGCTGACTTTATTGTCCAACTGACGAAAGACTTTC